CCAGGGGTGTCCCCGTCAGGCCCTGGCGTGGTGGTGATGCAGTTGAATGTCCCCAACGGCCCCCAGGCCCCCCAGAACCCTCCCGTGGTGCAGTGGAGCCACTGTAAGTACTACAGCCTGGAGCAGCGGGGCCAGAAGCCAGGAGAACTCTACAACCCTGACACCAGTGCTCAGGTACTGGGGGAACTGGGAGGGAGGGGAAGGAGGCAGCTCAGCCTTTAGGGCTGCCAGGGTGGGCTGGGTGATGGGTGTGGGACTGGTCACAAGCTCTGGGGTGTTTGGCACTGTCCCTCCCCCAGGCCAGCACCCAGCTGAACAGCCCCATCACGTCCCCCACCCAGTCCCCGACGCCGTCGCCCGTCACCAACCTCAACAGTGTCTGCACGGGGCTGAGCCCCCTCCCTGTCCTCACACAGTTCCCCCGGCCCATGGGCCCAGCACAAGGTAAGGGAAAAGTGTGTAGGGACAGGGCTGGGAATTCCCTGGCCTTTCCTGGGATCCCTACAAACCTCTGCTCCTCGTGCAGGCGACGGGCGGTACTCGCTGCTGGGCCAGCCCTTGCAGTACAACCTGTCCCTCTGTCCCCCTCCGCTGCTCCACAACCAGCCCAGCTACACGGCACACCAGGTACCACCGGGCCCGGTGCCCCGTCCCCGCTCCCTCTGCGGGCAGCGCCAGGCCACAGTGTTCCCCGGGGCGACACATTGCCCTTTTTATTCTTCCAGGGGCAGACTGGAGTGAAACACGGAAACCGGAGCAAGAGACAGGCCCTCAAGTCAGCGTCCACCGACCTGGGGACGAGTGACGTAGGCAAGTGACCCCCTCAGGCTGTTCTCTTTGCCCTCTGACAACCCCGTGTATGGGTGTTGGACACTCCCTGCTTCAGAAAGGAGGAACTCACAGCCTGGAGCACCTCTTGCTGGCCCTGTGGAGGCCTCAGGCTTGTCCCCTGTGTCACCTCCATGTCACCACCAGCAGCTGGACGCAGGGGGCCCTTTAAGAGCTGCCTGCCCCCCTCCCTGCCCCTGGCATGGTCTGTACGTGCCACGTTAATATTAGCAAAGAATCCCTTCAGCAGCTCTGCTAAGCCCAGAGCCAGGGCCGGAGCCAGGAGCTGCAGAGGGATTTGGGTACCACCAGGCAGGGGCAGAGGTTGGTGTGACA